GGGTGCGTTTTTTTCTAGAATTACTATGCGCATAGATCGAGTTTCCCGGAATGTTTTTTTTTTACATTCTTGACTTCATGATGAACAGGATGTTTTATTGATTAATCAGAATTGACTGCCCAATCTCGTTGGATTGGTTCTGGACTAATCAATACTCGAATCTAACTAGCTGTGACATTTTCAGCTCAAAAAATAATATTATGTGAACCCGAAGTAAATTTAATTTGTCATGCATGAAAGGAATCAATATAACTAGTAATTATTATTTTTCAATGAATCCTTCAACGGAAATTTTATGGAATATTGAATTATTGACATAATATCTGTATGATATTATAACGCAACTAAAACAGATTATAATGTTGCCTGATACTGATTGACGAGCAAACAGATCTAAAATTTAAAGTTTCTATAGAAATTATTACCCTTGTGTATAAATTAATATACTCAGTTACTATAATCTTACATTGAAATTAATTCTTCCAAACGCTTTTGAATGAAATATCAAACAAAATTTTAGCTCAGCTCTAAAACTTATTTGAATAATAATGGGAACTAAGTTGTACATAATTATCAAGAGTTCAAATAAATCTCTCCAAGAATGAATTATCTCACTTGAAAAAGTTTACTTTGCTTTACAAAAACAAAAAACGAAAAATTGTTTTAAATTTGAAGTATTGTAAGTTGTAAACGATTATCTTTTGCATTTATTCTCCTGATTGTAATGCTGCAATACGTTCTATCTGTGTTAAGGATAAAATAAAATTACATTAAATGAAGCATGTTTAATAGTTTTTCAGCACTTGATATTGTTATTTGGCATCCTCTAAATTTTTTCTGATAAATGGAAAATTTCAATTCCAATCCATTCGCCTGGGAAAATAATCACTTAACCAATAGATGAATAAGTAACGGATCGAATTTTTAAAAAATTGGCTATCATTCACTCATTTAGTCTATAAAGTTTACTGCGTGTAATAGGTGTAATTTGTCCGTGTTAATGTGTAGGTAACCCAAGGATGACTAATGGGGTGTTTGTCTCAAAAAGGCAATTTATGCAAGAGAACGGAGGTCGCGAAAGCTTAACTCGGCTCAGCTCACACGAGCTTCCAACTCCCATGTTAATAATACATGAAACAATAGCAGCTCATGTTTTAACTTTCTTTTTCAATGAAAACTAAATCTTCATGAAAAAAAAATTCACAAAAAAACCTTTCTAGAATAATACGAATTTAAATAATGCTAAAATTTTTGTTTTCATTTCACGAACACCTTACTTTCTCACGAGGATTTTCATTTTATGAACATTATGAATTTTACTATTGACACGTACAAAATAATTTGTGAGTGAATATACAGTTCAAAGAAAAAAAGTTTCAATCACGAAAGATGGAATTAAATTCAAAAACAGTAATATCTTGTAAATTCATATATATATGTTCCATTGGATCAATTATTGATTTTCAAGAAATGAGTCTGTAAAAAAGATAAATAGGACACGGATTAATTGAAAATGGAATAGATGTCTAACAATAAGCTGCCAAAGATTGAGTGGAGACAGAAAGGATCAATTGAAATGGAAAAGGGTCAATTTGACCCAAGTAGAAATTCATTTTAATTAAAGTAAGGATCATTTTAAAATCCGAAAAAGATCAACATTGAAAATAGAAGAATTATTGCTAGAACAGAAAGAAGATTAATTTCAAGTAAAATAGATTAATTAAAGCCGCAGAACATTGTAATGGAGAATAGAATAGATTAATTGGAATCGATTATTATCAAACCGAATTAGCAAGGAATATTATCTGATGGAAAAGATCAATACAAGCTATGCATTACATCAAGATAAAATTAGATTAGGAGATAATTAATTGATTTGGACCAATTAGGACAAATAGAAATCAAATTAAAGGTAAGGGATTAATTTGTATCTTAAATTATTTACATTCATTATATATCATTAAAATATTGACTGTAGAAGAGATTTACATTGATTCAGTTAAAAGACTGGATTTAATAAATTTTAACTAATTTTCACAAATACAGAATAATTCGATTCGTTTAGAACTGATTACTATTATAGAATAATCATAGGACAATTTAAAATCCTAAATAGAAAAACAGCTATTTTTTGGCTGGAGTTTGAGAGTGACTGTCATGATTGGTTGTGAAAATGACATGATGACGGTCGCTATTGGCTGAAATAATTTCAAATTTTTGTGTGCGCGCAGTTTTGAGGTTCTAATTTATTCCACGTGGTCGAGTGCGAGTATATACATGATACATGATGAATATTACAGAGTATTACAGAATACTACAGATTACAAAGTGAAGAACACGTGTTTTTTTTCTTAAATATTTTTCATGATTCTTAATAATATTCTTAATATATGCGATGATAAAAAGTGAAAAGTGCCAAAACAATAAAAAAATATATATAAAATATCATAAGTGATCAGAAGTAAAAAAAGTTTTGTGATTAAAATAAGCATAAGGAGGATATAGGTAAGTTTTTAAAAATTATGTAAAATACTACTTTTTAGTGATGAAAATAATTTTTTCTTTTTGTAAGTAATTGCAATTAATAAATAAACATCATTCCTGTCTAACTAACTAAAACAATCTATTTTTTCAGCAATTAAACTTATAATAAAGAAACTTAAGTAACTTTCTAGAATCAGTTAAAAAATTCTTGAGTTTGCCTTGTTTAATTAAAATATTAAAATTAATATAATTTCTGAAATACTTTACATGTTTTAATATTTTTTTTAATGAATTTTAAACAAGCACCCAGATTTTATTTTAAAAACATTTATGTTGTTTTTTCTAAAAGAATATTTAGGTATAAAATGAAACTCTGAAAGTTAATAAACAGGTGCTATAATAATTGGATTACAGTTTTAGCATCTGTAACTTTCAGAATTAAATTTCAATGGTAAATATTCTTTTTTTAAACAAAAACATTAATATTTTTAAAATAAACTGGATGCTTATTTCAGCTTTATCCAAAGAACATTAAAACATGTAAAGTATTTTCGAAATTATATTAATTTTACTAATAAACATAATAGTAATAAATCATTTATCACAGAATAATTTAATCCCAATAAAAATATCTTTGATGTTATAATATAAATATAAGTAAAAAAAACCGCTGCCAAGTTGTATATTTTTTTTTATAATTTTGGTGCCCATTTCGTGAACACTTTGCTTCCTCATAGAGATAAAAATAATGGATAAAAATAATAATAATATTTGTCCGAATGTTTTCGTTTCATTCTCCTTTACTATAAAAATAATAGAAATATATGAATAACTTTTTATTAAAATGGTAGAAGTGATTGATTTTTAGATCAATCAATATATTTTTAAATACCCTACAAGATAGTTATAATAGTTTAATAGTGAAACAAGAATTTTCAAACAAAAAAGTTGAAAAAATGTCATTTTCCACAATTTTTGGTTTTTAAAATACCAATAATTTCGAAATTTATTATCGAAATAGGTTCAAAAATAGGTCAAAAGTAGTGTTTTTTAATGCTCTACAAGTTGGTAACGATAATTTTGAAGTTACTTCTACATTTTTCAACAAAATTTTCAAAAAAGTTTTATTTTCTAAAATTTTTTATTTTTAAAAGTTTAATATCTCCGGTTAATACAGACGAAAAATGTTCAATTAGGGCTCAAAAGATGCGCCTAAAAAAACTCTACAAAACTATGGAAAAACATTTATAGGTGTCCTAACATTTTTTAAAAGTTATGGTCAAAAACGTTTTTTTAGAAAATTAAAAATCCAAAAAAAATTTAGTTAAACTTTATTAATCTATCACAAAATACTCTTACTTTATGTCCGCAGATAAGATCTACAATTTTAAAAAAAAATCCAACCCAAAATCTCTTCATGATTTCGAGATATTTATAAAAATGTGATGTTTACACACACACATACGGAATGACATTTTTTAAAAATGTCTTTTTTGAAATAATCTTGCATAATTGTTGTGTTTTTAAATTAAGGTTTTCTTCTGTATGATAAGGAGTGAGCGCGCTGTTTTGGTTCTATAGTAATAAACAATTTCTGATCGGTTCTACTAACAAAAATAAAAGCAGCTTTAAACAAGTAGAGAACAATTTGAGCAGTTGAAGCCTTATTAACTTTCCCGGAATAAATCCTTGTTGAAACTAATTTAAAATATTACAGGCTAATTTCATTTCCAAGGAGCAAATTAACTTTTTCAAACTAAATTGAATTGTGAAGGATTACTTTGGATAGTTATTTTACAGCAGATCAACGCTAATTGTTACGAGCTAATTAGAAATAAAATCTGATGATTCATTTTACGTTTATCAAGAACAAAATCGTTTTCTAGATTTATGTGAATAGACAAATTTTTTAAAATCAAAACTTTTTGTGTATGGACTAACTTGTTTTAGTAACTGATATTCCCAGTGCGGGTATAAAAGTCTTTTTAAAAAGTCTTTTATACGATTTAAAAACGTTTTTAAACGTACTACGTCATTAGAGAGTCATTTGTAGAAGACTTGTATGTTTTAAAAACGTATTAGGGAGGTTTTTTCAACAAAGACGTTTTAGTGTCCAGTAAGATTGGTGTTATACTAGGTTCAATATGAAATTAATAACAATGTCGGCGTTAGAGAATTTAGTGATAATATAACCGTTCTTCGCCTGGTGAAAGTTAAAATTTGCTTCCACTATTATTTTGGTCCGTTTGACTATTATTCTAATCAACCAAAATAGAGGATCGTTAAGTTCAAAATCCAACATCGAAAAATCAAAGTAAGGATCAGAAGTACATTTTAATTTTAATCAAAAATAGAATAAGTAGAAATAAGTTTAGATAGGGGCATGTCCCGTGTTATGATTCAAAATAAATAAATAAGTTTGAAGAAGTTTTTTTTTTGAACGAGAAGCTTCGATATGGTGAAGATTTCTAAACAAGGATTCAGTGGCAATTTTCTCCTCATAGTTTCTTAAAGCAGGTGGCATCCCTCATCCAGTTTTCGACACACCTTTCTCAGCTTGAGGAGTTTACCAATGGTGGCACAAGGGGGTGGATAACGAGATGTAGGTGAAGCTCTTTACTCTCTTTGCTTCTCTCTTTCTTGATGGTATAGATGAAACAGAGAAGGGTGGCTGCGGAGAAAGGATAACAGCGGCGGCGGATGCGGGTGACCTGGTGGGGGGTGGAAGAGAAGAGCAGAGAAAGGTTTGGTTGGGTCGTGTGTTGCGGGCTGCTGCGGCTCGGGCGCGACAGTTCTGCCCCAACCAGCGCCGGTAGACCTTCGTTGCTTATTTTCTCTTTTTTTCTCTCTCTCTCTTCTCTCTCTCTCTCTCGCCCTTCCTCCAAAATTCCTTTCTCTCCAAAAAAAACCTAAAATTTTTGCAACCCTCCTCAAATTCCATTATTCCAAAAAGAAAGTTCGAACACTCTCCGCGTGTCCTCATCCATGTCACGCGCCTCCCGCTTTGACTTCGACGATATGGCCACCCTGCAAAACTTAGACACGCATGCGAGCCACCAGCCGCGGTTTATTTAACGCGGGCCAAGGTTGACACGAAAGAGAGAGAAACCAGAACAAACGCGAATTCAGATTTACTCGAAACTTTGATCCAAATCGTGCGTGACATTTTCGCGGATTATAAAAAAAAATTGTCTCAAGGTTACAGTAAATATTACAAATCAAGTTCAACTTCGATCATGCAACACGGGAGGTGACGAAACAAAAACTTTAGGATTATAAAATAATCTGTAGAAGTAGAATTTAAATTTTTGGATAAACAAGATTAGAATTTTAAAAAAAAAACCCGGCCGGGTAGGTTGGAAACTTTCAGAAAACTAGTATTCAAAAAGTATACTATATATACGTAATGTTGTACAGGATTCTTCAAGCCTAGTTTATCCTTTCAGACAAAAAGGATAATTAAAATTGTCGTGGGAAAAATTTAACCCGAACTAAAGGACTTTAAGGAACTCGACAGAACAACAGATTCCTATCAGGAAACTACGAATCCCTAGTCGATGAATGTAGAAACACTTCGTCACTGACAAACCGAATTACCTCTAGCTCTAATCGCAATTTTACTAAGTATACGACTCTAATTCATAAGGAAGAAATTTTGAAACATTTGGTCAACATTTTTAAAAATCAATTTTCAATCCTTGATACTTTTCAGATATTACGAGTTGAATTTAAACGGATTTTAATTTAACAAATATTTCCCGAAAGGGCAACATTCATGATATTGCCAAAAAGGGTTTCAAGAAGGAAGAAAAATATCAAAATTGATATCTGAATATAAAAGAAATGTTATGTGGAAAATACTCCTGGACAAAAATTGGAAAAAGAATAGAAAAATTTAACAAACGAGGAAAATTTTTCGAAACAATCAAGAAACCTCTTGATGTACAAATAGAAGATAAAATAAAAATCTGGAATTTTAAGCCTAAGAGAAGATTTTAAATAAGATTTAGAAAAAAAAATTTAGTTTGAAAGAATCAAGTTTATTATCAAACAGAATTAATTCAATCGCAATCAGAAAGAATCGTAAAAGTAAGATACAAAAATTGTCCCCCCAAATAATCAAAACTAAAGGAATAAACCCAAAGTAATAAACTTAGCAAAAAAACATTTAAGACAAAAATAAAATAAGTTCTAGATAATGTGAAAAAGTTACGAAACAAAATTAAGAACATCCGAAAGATACGAAAAAAAGAGCTTAAAGAACAAAGATCCATTTGAGATAACAATAAATTCAAGAAGAAGAAAAGTGAACGAAATACCCAAAATTAGGTCTATAGAAACTGCTAAATTTGTGTGTTTTGAAAATAAAAACATCTAGTTTAAATAAACCTTGTTGGAATAAAAGGAAAAAATAAAATTTGACAAACAAATTTCTTTAATTCGAGTCAATAACGAAAAAAAAGTGTTAAAACGAGGCGTGAAACGAAAAAAAGGAAAAAAAAAAGTCAAACAACATTCGAACGCATTCGAACTTGTAATGAAAAGGTAAAAAAAAGGTGTAAAAAATAGGGGGAAAAAATATCAGAAAACAATCAAGAGGACAAAAAAAAGGTTTTATGGAAATTTTCCATTTACTGAAATTATTGAAGAAAAGGAGATTATAACGGATTAAATCTGTGAAGAGTAATTAAAGGTGTAAAAAAAAAGGTTATGTACTGCATAAGTGTGTCGTGCAGTTGTGGTGGAGTGGATAATGGTCGAGGAGAGAGATGAGATTTGGGTGGGAAAGTGGGAGAGAAGAAAGAGGAAGATCAAGATCAAAAAAGGTGCAACTTGGAGAGAAGAGCCATGTCATGGGAGTCCATCGCGTCCAGGGATTACCTTGGGTGAGTGTAAATAATAATTGTTTTACTCTTTATTTATAATTAAATAAATTATCATTTGATGCAATTATTTATTCATTCATAAAATCATAACCGACGGCAATATAAATTTCATTATTCATGATGATAAATATTACTTCTCTTTAACAAACGTGACGACTGATTTTTAGTGCTCTGACACCCCTGTAAATAAGTTTTATAATTGCTACTCCACTTTATAGTTACTTTATTAATAAAACATTTATTTAGAAAACATATAATAAACTGTAAAATATTAATTGAATATTTAAGAATTTCGAAGACAATTTTGTATTTTTTTTTTATTTTTCGAATTATTTTGTTACGGTTTGGGTAGAGAAAAAATCGTAATTTTTTCCATTAATTTTGGGTGGATGTTACGTAACAGTAACGCCTAAGTGATTGATTACTTTGTAACTATCGTCAAAAAAATAGTTATACGTAATTTTTTGCGTTTTCGGAAAAGAAAAATTAAAAAAAAATTTTTTTAAAACTGTTATTCCATTTGTGAACAAAAGCAATTCTACAGAACTGGTTAATGTACAACTCAAAAATTAAATTGTACAACAAAAAATTTGATTTAATTTTTTATAAAAATTTTTTTTTAACATTTTTAAAAAAAAATTTTTTTTTTTAAATTTAATTATTTTTTTAATTTATTTAAAAACATAGTTATGATTAGTTACATTTTAATGGCATTTAATTCAACAAAAAAGTAAATATGATATTTTTAGTTTTATAATGAAAAAGTTTATTTATTTCTTTCTTCTTTTGACTTTTCTGTAAGTGAAAGTGGAGCGAAACTGGGTAGGCGGGTCAAAACGGATACCCTTGTTTTTCCATGATAGGTACTTCCATTTCTATCATCCCTCAAATATATCTTTTTTTTATCAAAGCCAACTGGCAAAAAATCGTGAAAACGACATGGAAAATTTTTTTTCCTTTTAATCTATGCGACTCTAAATGTTTAGGTCAAAAAAGATTGAATATTTATGGAAAATAAAGTACTCGTAAAACTTTTTTGGATATTGAGACAGGAATGTCAATACAGACTTTTTTAGAAATAAAATTTGAATTTGGAATATACAGTTTTGGTATTTATTATAATTATAATAATCATATATTCTAACATAGGGAATTCGGGGAAAAGTCAGGAATTTTTATTAAAAGTACTGAAAAAAATTAAATTTTTAGAATTCATAAGTTTCTGAATTTTTGTTGTCCTTTTTGCTTGATTTATAAACTATAAAATTGCCACGAATTCTAAAACAAAACCTATTTTTTCAATTTCTGACAAAAATTTCTAATTTAAATAACAATCTTGAACAACTATCATAAAATAAAAAAATTATTTAATGAATTTACTAAAATATTTCAAAATTAATTCAATTTTAAAATTGTTGCGTTTACAATTTTCAAAAATAAATTAACTTCAAACGGTTTCAATTTGAAATTTTCTAAACTTTCAATGTTGAATGAATTAAATTAGAAATTTTAATAAACTTTGATTTTTGAAAAATTTTAATAATTCAAACTCTTCTAAAATTAGTTAAATTTGTCATTATCTATTTAATTAATTAGTAAAAATAATTGATTTATAGAAAAATTTTAGTAAAACACTAAAAATAGTTGAATTTCAAAGAAGTTAGAAGCGATTGCAGAAATTCAGTTATTTTCAAAAGTAATAAAATTCTTATCACAAAATTCAATTATGATGAAAATTTACAAAGAAATCTCGACAAAATTCAAATTATTATCTTTGTAAATAAATAAATTCTTCTCCGAAATTCAATTATTTTCGCAAAAATTTTTAATAAAATTCTTGGCAAAGTTTCAATAATTTTCGAAAATTTTAATAAAATTCTTTATTTCAAAATTTCAATAATTTTCAAAAATTTTCCTCAATTCAATGATTTTTAATATCTACTATTTTAATAAAATTACGCAAAAGAATTCAATTATTTAAAAATAAATTTTAAAGAAATTTTACATAAACATTTAATTATTTTCATAAATAATAAAAATTTCGCAGGAATACAAATATTTACAAAATTTTTTATAATTTTCTTCTTAATAATTCAATTATTTTCAGAAATAATAAAACTTATCGCAGAATTTCAATTATTTTTAATACAATTTTAATCGGATTCCTTGAAAAATGTAGATATTCTAAAAAATCTTATTAAAAATCGTCAAATGAATTCAATTATTTACAAAATTTGTTAATAAAATTCTTTTTAAGAATTAAATTTTAAAAAAAACTTTCAATTATCCTGTAAATAATTAACTTTTGCATTTAAATAATTGAATTCTCGTAGAATTTTCTAATAAAAATTGATTTAAAAATGAATTTTATTTCAAATTTTAGTTTAAATTTTAGTTAAAAATACAATATGAAAATAATTTTCAAAAAGTTACAGAAACAATATTCTTGTAATATAAAATAATTATTTGAACACTCGGTTCTAAAAATTTTTACTAAAATTCTACGAGAATTCAATTATTTAAAAATTTGTTAATAAAATTCTTTTTAATAATTGAGTAATTATAAAAAAACATTCAATTATTTAATAAATATTTTACTTTTGCATTTAAATAATTGAATTTTCGTCGAATTTTCTAATAAAAATTTATTTGAAAATGAATTTTAGTTAAAATTTTAGTTTAAATTTCAGTTAAAAGTACAATATGAAAATAATTTTTAAATAATTACAGAAACAATATTCTTGTAATATAAAATAATGATTTTAACACTCGATTCTAAAATTTTTTACTAAAATTCTACGAGAATTCAATTATTTAAAAATTCCTTAATAAAATTCTATTTATAAAAATTAAATTTAAAAAAACATTCAATTTTTCGATAAATAATTTACTTTTGTATTAAAATAATTGAATTCTCGTAGAATTTTCTAATAAAAAATTGATTTGAAAATGAATTTTAGTTTAAATTTTAAATAATAATAGAATATGAAAATAATTTTTAAGAAGTTACAGTAACAATATTCTTATAAAAATTGAAAAATAAAATAAATTTTTATTTCTGATAAAATAATGATTTTAACACTCAATCCTCGTTAATTATTTATAAAACATGAAGAAGACGATCACTCCGTGTCTTCGACTCGGTGTTATCTTCATGTTTTATAACAATATTTGTAAAGAAATTTTTGAATTGATTGAAAATCTTAATTCCTATCGCAAAAAATAATAATTAAATATTTGAAAAAGAAATTATTGTTTGCGAATAATTTTACAATTAAAGACATTTTGTAAATAATTGTAACAGAACATTTTTTAAAAAAAAATTTTTTTTTCCTTTATTTTCTCAAAAGTTAAGAATTTTCAGTTTCATTTTCAAATAAATTTTCTAATTGACAAATATAATTTAATAAACATTTTTTTTTACCTTATTTTTAAGAAACTTTGCATTTTATTAAAACAATTGAAATTAAGAAAAAAAAATTATTTCAAATTATTCCAAATAAAAATTATTTCCTTATGAAAATTGAGAATTTTTTACAAAAATATTAAGAAACGGAAATATCTAATGTTTTTCTTCCCAAAAGAAAAAAAATAAGTTTGTAAACAATATTATTATTACTAAACAAAAATTATGCATAAAATGGTTGTATTTCCTGCTTATTAAAAATTTTTTAACAATTAACAATTTTCTAGTACTTTTTATAAATAAAAAGGAGAATAATTTGCATAATAATATTTTAACAATTAATAATTTTTTAGTACCTATTTTTTATAAATAAAATGGAGAAATACAAATTTTCGTTTTGTCAAACAATATTTTTTAAAGAAAAAAAAACAAAAGCATACACAGAAACTAACTTCTACGGGCAGAATGAATGAAAGAATACGAAGATTAATAATTAAAATTAGTAATTAGTATAATAATTAAAACACAAAACTTTGCCAATTAATAAGATTCAGACAGTATATTATATAAACGTTCTTCACAAATTAAATTTTATTTACATAATATTTTTCTCATCCTATAGTAGTTTTAGAATTTAACAAACTTCAATGAATTTTATAATAAAGAATTTCCAATTTGTTTCCAATGTACAATTTTTAATTAGAGATTCAATTCAGATCATATTTTAATTAATTAATTGTCACAAGCGACGAGATCATTAAAAATTAAAAGTATTCAATATTGAATTTAAATGGAAAGTAAAGCGTTTGCTTATATTTTTCGCATCAAAGCCAGTATAATATGTAGATTATGTTTATTATTGAACGACAAAGTCGTGGAGTGTCGATATGGGAAAATCGCACACTTCCAAACCAGTAGTTGAATCACGTGCAGGACATTTCATAAATGTGGAACTATAAAAGCCGGATTTTTCTCTTCATTGTGAGAGTTTGAAATTATTTAAAAATAGATGAAAGAGATTTAAAGAGAGGATTATTAGTGTTTGAATACAAAAGCTATATATATGCTATTAAATAGACAACAAAGTCACTTCTGATAGTAGAATATTTTCTATATTTCCCTGAAAGACGGCTCTTATAAATTCTAAAATACTGAACGTCACAAATGCATTTCATTTCATTTCGTATTAAAAAAAAAAAAAATAAAAAATTGCTTTCAAACAAATTCATTTTGGATAGTGGTATATTGGATCATGAACCATCACTGGTGGATTAACAAAGGAAAAAATTTTAAACCCTTCTGTTTTTAATTTAATTAAATGTTTCAATGGATTGAGAAAAGAGTTTCGTTTTAACGACTTAACGTTTGGTTGGTATTCAGGCAATCAACATTTTTTAGTGTTAATAAAATTTTGCTTTCTTAAATACTAACAAAAGGTTTTATTCTTTTAAGATCAAATTCAAATTCACGTTTTAAAATTTTACAAAAGTTTATAGATAATAAAAATGTTGAGAGTTACAAAGCTTGACAACAAATTAATTTCATAAGTGATAAACTTCTTCGAATAAATAAAATTATGTTTAAAATTTTTTTC